ACAAGGTTTGTGTGCACCATTTAAGGGGCACAATATAATTCACCGATCCCACCGTACCAGGGTGGCGACAAAAGAAGAAGAAGAGCGTTTACCGTTGCAACAAGTCGACGTAGGAACACTGTCCACAAAATGGATTAGGAAACGGATGAATAATAAGGCACAGAGGCGCTGGGACGAGGTGTGGGGCATAATGCAGACACCCACACCAAAGGTAATGGACCGGGAATCCAATTTAAGGATTACAAATGCTGACGCACAGCGAATGAAGGAAGCAGGTATTATTTGTACAGCTTCTTCGCACCCAACCGCAGGTTGGGTGGTACCCTTTACGGTGGTAGAGGAAAAACCGTCAGGGAAGCGACGAAGATTTATTGCTTGGCCGAAGGGAAAGAATGCCCAGGATGACTACGAGGCCGATGTTCCTCTGGAACACATTTCCCGATACCTGGATGTGGTATACGATGAAACGGCAACGTTATTTGATTTAAAAGCATCCTTCTTCCAGGTGGCCTTACCGCGCAACATAAGGGCAAGTTTCCGTTGCCGCACGGAATCAGGCGAACTCGTCGAATTCGCACGCCTTCCCATGGGATATAAATGTAGTCCGGAAATAGTAAACACCATTACAAGAGTTCTGGCAGGTGATCCTGCCATGGTAAAGCCACAGTACGCGGCACCCAAGCAATTAAAAATACACGTTTGGATTGATAACATCCGAATAAGTGGTCCACATGACAAGGTGGAAAATTGGGGACACCAAATTGCGCATAACATGCAACACTGCGGGGTCACGATTGGGGAACAACACCTCAAAACCAAGGAATATGATTTCATTGGAGTACATTTTAATCACAAAGATCACACGGTTTCTTTAAGTGCCAAGACTATAAGAAGATTGAAAGAGGCAACATCTTTGGAAAAGACGACGGTTGAACAATTAGAGAGTACAGTTTCGCGTATGATGTGCGCAGGAGGGGTAAGGGGTGAATCCCTTTTCCCTTATTATTTCTTCTTAAAAATCGTACGCCGACGGTTGTCTCGTTTAAATCGAGGTTTAATAAGGCCACAAGACCCGGCACATTTATCTTCCACGGCAAAGTCCATAGGGCACAACTGGCTCAAAACATTATTAATGAACAAACCGGTTCATCCTCCACAAAAGTTGCCCTCCACGGCAACACTCGTCACAGACGCATCTATGTACGGATGGGGAGCGTTATTATTCAAAGATTCAGGAGAAGTTTTGGCGGCAGGGGGTGCGTGGGAGCATACACCTCACATGATATCTCAAGCAAAGGCGCGTGCCGTTCATCTCGCTTTACGAGGATTTAAACCGCATTTGACGGGTCCATTGGATATTCGCGTGGACAATACAACCGTCATGCATATTATGAAAAAAGGAAACACACATTCACAAGCTTTAGTGAAGGAAGCTGACGCCATTGATAAAGTTCTTCGCTTACACGGAATACGAGCAACGTGGAGCTACGTAGCTTCAGAGCAGAACCCTGCGGATGGCTTATCTCGAGGTAAACCAGTCCACTCAGTAGACTTAGCGACGGGGTGGAACTTGCGATGGGGAGAGCGGGGGGCGGGATAAAAGGGCTTCTCAGCACTTCCTTTTCGTCAGTTTTGGGATTCTTTAATAAATAACTATATGGTAAAATCTCGATTTATATTTGTTTATATTTTTATATGATACGGGGTTACTAGTAGTAGAGGTAAAATACACTGTTTTCTTTGTTTTCTTCTTGTCTCTTTCATAGGTGAAGTAAGGTCAAGATTATTCTCTTCGCATTTTTATGGGTGCTATACCAATGGCACGGCCGTCAACAACGGTACGTCTATTGTTTTTTTTTTCTTGTTTATTTTATTTATTAGCGTTGCGCAAAGGAAGTGCATATTGGTAAGGAGATTGCTATGAATCTCGTAGGTGGCAGAATATGGATTTTTCTTTTCCTCTATGAGTTGCTTTAGCGGCCAAATCCAATTTCCGCCACTGGAGGACATAGTTGTTACTATCTCTAGGGTCCGTGCCTCTCCTTTTTTAGCAGCATTCACACTAAGGTGAAATATGTAAAAGAAACTGCTGCTGATGTCGCCTTTGACACACGCCTCGGGCTCTTCTTGGATAGCGTTTTCCTCCTGCACGACACGGCTGGCCCCGGTGCGGTGCGATGTTTGTAGCTTATCAACCCCTTAACTCTCCAGAAGAGAGTTTACAGATCCATGATTTCCCCAGAAAAATATACGAGGTGATGGGGCTTGGCACCAATTTTCTATGGCCAAACGCCGCCGAGGGATAGCATTCCTAAGAACGCATGTATAAAAATAAATTTTGACTTGGTTTTTAAGGAGGTGGTCTCCTTCAAAAGGTCGGTGGTTCCTTTCATTTTCCCCAAATAAATTCAGACGGTTAACCTTGGAACCGCGACAAGGCAGTACATCATCACCAAGGCTGACGCCGTTAAAACGTAAGCCAATCCAATACCGGATGCAATGCATCTCTCTTTTATTGCGCTTCTGACGCCCCAATGTTTCCCGAAGGGGTGATTTGCTATTTGCTTGCATTTGCCCTTTCTCGCCTTCTGTTGTGATAATGGGTTTGAGGGGAAAAAATAAAATTATTTCTGCCCATCTTCTATCACTAATGGCCAAATTGCATACTATAATGTGGTGATCGTCGTCTTCAGTAATCCATATAATCTTATTGACTGCGACACATTATTGAAGGAGCGCGGAAGCTGTAGTTGAGCCGAATCTATGCGTGAATCCAATCCACGCTGGAGCCATTCTAAATTACAAGTCATTATAGATACACTGCTGCCCAACGGCATCTCCAAAAGTATAAATGATACATTATTGCTCATGCCAAGACGCCTGCACCATCGTGTTCGCCTATTCACTGAACTCTCTCAGTACAGAGGGACCGGTCCATATACGTATCAATGCCTTTGACGAGGCGCAGCAGAAGGCACGCCAGCAAGATCATGACAGAGAATCCAGACCTCAAATGGATTATTAACTGCACCCCCAAAAGGTCCTCAACACTTCCCGGTTCTGTGTTCATTAGAAAACCCTGTCGCAATATAATAGACGCCTAACTACCAACATTAGAGTAAAAAATTGCCCAACAATGGAACTAACCATAACAAAGGCTAGAAGATTAGGTGCTGGGGGATTCGTGGTGTCGCTCGGTAACAAGGTGCAACTTGATGCCTAAAAAAGGATGAACGTCGACAACTCTACGATTGCACGCTGGGACGGTTGGGCTAAAGGAAGTCCTTCCATGCATAACAAAGGGCACAAGCAGAAGATAATATTTGGCGAAAGGGAAATGGCATGCCCATCCGCGCCTCTCAACGTTGTGCCGCCGAAGGTTGCGTCGCCAGAAAGGAATTTGGGAACCTAGGAAACGCCAATTGCCTGATGATGGCGGCTCCGAAAGGGTATCACTATTGGAGTCCATGCGACCGCATATGGGTCTATGCGTTTGGGAGAACGCAAGTCGACCATGCAGCGCATGCTCAGAGACGGATTGTGGCCCGGGTTGCGCGCAGCAGGCGGCGACCTAAATGGCAGAGGAAGTTTGCCGCGGCTACCCCGCAGCCCTGTCCCAAAGAGGTCCCGGAGAAACATAAAGCGCACAACAAGAACTCGAAAAAGAGATGCTTAAAAATATATATATTAATAGACCCGTTTGGCCGGGCCTCGCGCGCACCGCGGTGGGAAGAACCCCCGGGCCACCGCCCTGACGTGCGCAATCCTTGTGGGGAGGCCGGGGTGGGCGACATAAAGCTATAAACCGATAAAGTAAGAAAGAATCAAGTGGATAAATTAAATATAAAAAAAAACAAAGTTCGGGGGAAACTACGTTGGCTTTTCCAAAAAGCGCGGCTTCTTTATGCCTTCGTCGTCTGCCCTGTGTTTTTGCCAAAGCTGCTTTGGGAAGGGTCGACGGAAATGGTGCAGATATGCATCTTCACATGTGGAGCGCTTCTTGTTTTGCACAATATCCTGCTTAAACCCGTCTCCAACCATGCGATCTCTCGTGGTTCAGCGCTTGTTGTATCAGTGAAACTCGTAAGTGGGAGAAAGAAATTGAGGGGTAGGTTTCCACACATGGCGACCGTCCTCGGTCAGGCGGAGGTTCCTGAATATCTTTATTTCCCCTCCTCCGAAGAACCTGAAGCAGCGCGCTGACAGTGAGAGTCCGTGAGTAAATTGTTAATACATACCAAACATTCTTCCTTCTTGCGTTGCTCCATGGAAGGGATTGGGTATTCCTCTATTTTGACCGCTTTCGCTAGGTGGTCGGTTCCGCCCGTCACGTGGCATTTCACCCTTGGCAATGTTATCCCCGTAGGTGGTGGTGGGAGTTGTGGTGCATCGTCACTTTCTTGTTCAAGTTTAGTGCTCGGCATTGGTCGTACTGCAACCGTCATTCCAGACTGGTTAAATCCCATGTGAAACGCCAGACCCTAGCGCCGCACAAGGGCCGTTGGCATGCGGGACAATTCGTGTTTTTTTTTTTTTTTGAGACTCAGGTGTCTATAGTGCTGTGCCGGGGTGAAATGTTTGAATATTATATGGGAGAGGAACCTTGTAATTGCTAAAGCCTCTAACCCGAAGCATGGATATTGGAAGGGGGAGTTCTCACCCTTTTCTTCATATACCCGCAGTCGTTTTCTTTCTGCTTTGGGACAGTCTTAGTTGTGAAAGTGCCGAAGGTGGCGGGAAAAATCCCACCTTCAACTTATACGGAACGTGTATTTTTTGATTTTTATATTCTATTTCTACCGTTGAACGCGCTTCGCGGTCATGGTAAAGAAGCCTGTAAGAATCTCTTAGGTGGTGGATCATAAATTTCTGTTGCCTTTCCGTTTTTCCCCAGTGGCGAAATCTATATATACCACGGGGCGTCGCAATTGTTACCATCTTTCGAGGCCTTGATTTCCCACAGGGGCTTTCAAAGAGGGGTGGGTTAAGCAAAATAAAGCTGCTGATGGTATGCTGGTGTGCGTTCCTGGATCTTCTTGGAATAAATAGTGCCTCGGCAAAACGCGCTCGTTCCGATGCCGCGCTTTGTTCGCGGCTTGTGGCCAGGGGGCGCCCGCAAGAGAGCATTGCTTGCCCATGGCTTCCCCGAAAATGCGGGGCAACGGGCCTTCGCACACGCTTTCGGCGGATAAATGGCGCCAATGGGCAGCATTCATGAGAATGCATGTGTCAAAAATAAAATTTTCTTGGACCATTCAAAAGACCACTTCGTTCAGAATAAAATGCAGCCTTTTGGGGACCACATCCTGGAAAATATTCTTGATTGCTTTTGGTTTCCCTGAATAAATCTGGTACTAAACCCCAACGCCGTGATATAGCAGCAATTCATCGCCAAGGTATTCGCTTTTTATAACCCATGCTTTCCATATAAACTCTTTCCCTTCGGCGTTGGGCCCCGAAAGTCGAAGCAAATCCACGGGGCCTCGCGTTGCTGGGTGGGAGGGCCGCTGGCGCAGCAAACCGCGTTCTCTTCTGTTAAAATAAAAATAAAAAAGCCGCCCCCAAACCACAAATACCGCGCCGCGCCTGGGAAACCATCGCCCGTGGCAGGGGGCACTGGCGTGTCACAGCAGCGGGGGCGGCGGGCCAAGCCCCGCGAAGAAAAAACCCGTGGTTTTCCGCTGTTCGGGCATGGGGTGTGGGCGCAAAAAACTTATGGGGGGGCTCTCCTTGAGGGATTTCTTGGGGGATTTTTGGCTCGCTTTCCGCCTCGTTTATGCGTCTGGCGCGTTCGGGTCCACCGAAGTTGTTTGCGGCCGCGCGGGGTGGTGGGGGTGGNGGGGGGGTGGTGCGTGAAAGCGCCCGGGCCAAACTGTTGCCCGCAATGCCTCTGAGGGTGGCGAAGGAAATCCCCGGGGGCCCTTGTGATGCCGGCAGGCGCGTCGGCAAAGGTGGGCGCGAAGGCGTCTTCTTGGGGGCTCGCCCCCCGCAACGCCGGGGCCCCGGGGTCCGGTCTGGTGGGTCCGTGGCGGGGGGCGGTCGTTTTTTTTTTTTTTTCACTGGTTGCATGGTGCGCGGGTTTGTGTGTGCGCTTCGGGCGGGGGCGCTTTTCTTCATGTCCGTTTTGTGGGCCCAGTTGTTTCCGCCCGATCCGGTGGCAAGGCGCGTGGGCGAAACGGCGCGGCGCTGCTCTGACCGCGGGGGGCCCCGCAAGGCGGAAAGGCCAGCCCCGGGAAAACGGTGCCCCCATAGCGCGCTGGAGGCGCATAAAAAAAAAAAAAAAATGGTTTCCGGGGGTTCCGGGTGGCCTTTGGAGCTCAAATGTTGGGGTCGAGAAAACCAAACCGGGATTTTCTTGCCTGGGGGGCGGGGGTGGTTGTGTGTGGTGTTGCGCGCTCTTGGCCCTGGCGCCGGGAAGGTCGGCGTGTGAAGAAGGCCGTCTGCTGCCAGCGCCCCCTTCTGGAAGGCGCGTCCGGGTGGAAGAAAAGGCCCCTGTACCAAAATGGGTGTGGTTGTGGGTCTTGGTGTGCTGCGTGTTCTGTGCGTGCTCGGGGTTTTCGATCTGAAACGGCGGTGTGGTTTTTTTTTTTTTTTTGCGGAGGTGCCGTGCTTGAGTGAAAAAATTCTTTGGCCTGCCTTTCCGTGCCGCCCGGCCCGTTCAGCGACCCCAGGGTGGACGTGTGGAGGGGTGCGCCGCGAGGGTGCGTTTCGGTTCTCTGCCATTGGGGCGGTTTTGTTGTGAGGGAAGGCCGTGGCCGCGGTTTTTCTTTGCAGATTCGAGGTTTGTGAGGCTGGAAACCCGCGCGGGGCGCGCCAGGAAGGCGTTTCGCTCGCCGCCCCTTGGGTTCTCCTGCCCGCCGGCAGCATGGGACCGCAGTTGGGCCGCATTGCTTCTTGGTGGGGGGCGCCCCGCCGCGGCGGGAGGGGTGGCGGGGTTCGCGCGCGGCCCCTTCCCGGAAGAGTGGCGGGGCGGGGCGGGGAGGTCCGTTGGCGCCGCTTCCGAACGCGCGCCGGCGGATCCTTTCCCCGGCGGCCGCGTGGGGGCGTGCGTCGGCGGGGGGTTTCGTCTTGTTCCGCCGTTCCCGCGGGGCCGGGGTGCCCGTCCGGCGGGGCGCTCCGGCGGGCCGCCGCGGGTTTTTTGCCGGCCGGGTCGGGGTCCGATTCCCCCGCGTTTCATCTTTGGTTGCGGCCCTCCCGCGGGGCGTTTGTTCTTTCCGGGCGTTTTGTTAGCTGTCGTGTGGGGTGCGGGCCGGCGAGGGCTGCGTGCTCGCTCCCGGCGGGGGTGTTGTGGGGCGGAAGTTGGGGGGAAAACCGTGTTCGGAGGCCGTTGTGGTTCGAACGGATTCTGCATTCTAATTGCGCTTTTTTGTGAGCTTTCTCCCGGCTGTTCCAAAAAAAAAAAAAAGGAAAAATATATTTGACACGTTTGTGAGCTATGCGTCGTAATTTCGTGGCGAAGGCTCCCGGACTTCAAGAAACCCCCTTTCACGCCACGAGGAACCAATCTAGCATTAAGTAGGTCTATACGAAAAAGGGTTTCTCTAGGTGATTGGTCTTTGTGGCCCTTCGGCCGGCCAAACTCTACGGAGGAAAATAATTAAAAGAGAATACGGGCGTTTTGCTAAACGAATTTGCTGTACAGGTTCCCCGCGGGCAGTATGATACTCCACCCAGGGTGGCATTGTAAAGATTAGGAAGCTTTGATAGCGACGTTCAAGCAAACAAACAAGCAAACAAAGCCAAATTTTATGCTGAGGTAGACCACTCCACTCTGTAGAGTGCACCACCCCAAAAGATGGGGCAGAGAGCAGCCCCCAATCATTGGGGTGTTGAATCGTAAGTGATGAGGATAATATTCGAAAACGTTTTTGTTGCAAGTTTACGATGCAATTAAATCAATGTGTCAAGCAAGAAAAGAATGTGTACTATTATTGTGAGATATTTACAGTGATGGCGATAGAAATATATAAACATATATAATTGTTTTTTTTTTTTTTTACCAAAGCTATTGTTCTGCAAGATAATCTGAACCTTGAAGAGGATGCCAATAATAAACATTTCATGTAAAGTATTCGTGTTTTGTCTTGTTTTAGGAAGTGGTAGAAGGTTTCCTCGGACACATGTTACTAGGAGCCAGTCCGGCTAATTTCACAAGAGAGGATCATGAACCTGTCACTTGTACACTATGCCCTGTGATGGAAACATTTGAGCTTCCCGGAGGTCGCTTTGCTCGTGAAGTGAAGGTTTTGTTGTCAGCCCTTCTTGGTGTCGATGAGGAGTCTATTGAGCTTTACGTTAAGGAAGCTCAAGGCTTCATCGCTGTTTCCGATGAGTCTTGTGGCATTAGAGATTACTACATTTTGCTGCGTCTTCGTGGTGGTAAGGGAGGATTTAGGAAACAACTTGAGAAGAAGGGCAGATCCTACGCAAGGGCAAGAAGATTGCGGGAGGCAAATCAATCTGGTCCTCGTCCAAAGCGGGTAAAGGAGACAGTAAAGGTTGTTGAGAAAAGTGTGGGTGATAATAAAACTCAGACTGGTGAAGGTGAATCTATGAAATCCGACACTGCTCAGGTTTTCACAAGTATTGATACAAAGACTCGAAACGCCGTTCTTCTGGGAGTGAAAAAGGTCCTTGAAAAATTGACTCCTGTCGAATGCTGAAGATTACCTGATTTCGCATGACTCCTTTTTTTTCTTGCTAGAGAGGTTTGCACTTTGACGAGCTGAGTTACGTTCCTTTTTGTGATGAGATTGAATACCTTTTACTTCTAATTTTTATTTTTTAAAGTTTTGTTTCCCCTTTTTGAAAATTCTTCTTGTTAATTCTTTTTTTTTTTCTAGCTGAAGAATAGTAGTAAAAGAAGGAAGCATATTCAATAAAAGAATCTACATGGTTGCTTAATGTCTCGTAGCGTACCATGGCGAACCAATTGCCCTCAAGATGTCAAATATCTTCTAGAACAATTGCCGTCTTCTCAGCTGCTGTTGGTAAGGCGGATTGGACCGACTAGTTTTTTATTAAGTGGACGTGATGGGCGGCAAAAATATAAAACATCTATCGGGGATCCGCATTATTGTTCTTGCGGTGCTAGTTCGGAGCTGTGTGTGCATATCTTGTTTGTGTTATGTAAAGTGTTTTTCTTACCGAAGGAAAACCCTTTTGTTTGGCAGCGGTCTCTTGTTGCGGCTGAAATAGACGAACTGCTTAGAGCAGAGACCAAGATGAAAAATAAACAGAAACGACTGGAAGGTGTCGGGCCGATTCTTCCAAGGGAGGTAGAAGAGGGCGATGTATGTCCAATATGTTTTGAAGAACTTGATAACAACGCACCCTTAACATATTGTCAAGGGGGATGCGGAAACCACCTTCACGTGCGCTGTTTCAAACAGTATAAGCGTCATAATTCAGCAGTTTCTTTGCGATGCCCGTATTGTCGAGTCCTTTGGCTATATGATCTTGGTACCACGAGTAAAAGATGCTCCGGGTGCAAAAAATACGCAAACGGTCAATATTATACATGCTTGTTTTGCCAAGACTATTTGTTGTGTGGAAACTGCTTCCACTCTAGTGATGTTCACTCGAACCATCCATTTTCCTTAGTAGGAACAACTGAGGTTTCAGAGAGAGTCAGTAGACAGGCAGTTTCTTCTGTCCCATCAGTTTCTGAGCCACCCCCTCAGATTTCTGCGGATGTAATTCCTCTTATGTACAGGGAACTTGATCCTAATGACTACGAAACCCTTCTTCAACTTGATGAAAACAATGACCGACGAGTACTGACCATAGAACAGTTTATGTCCCTTAAGCGAGGGAATTGGAATTCTTCGTTGGGATCTGACACATGTAATATATGTCTAGAGTTTTTCGATGTTTCCAGTAGTTGTGTTTGGTTACCATGTGGACATTTTTTTCACGTCTCTTGCGCGCAAACATGGCTAACAGAGCATTCAGCAGTGTGTCCTATAGACCACCAACCAGTCATAGTTTTCAGTGGCGAGAATACTCTTACGGAATTGAGTTTACCCTCTTTGTCTAATGTCGGTAATGATCAAAATAACCGTAACCATAATCGTCGTCGCCCAATGCAGAGGCCTCGGCAAGAAGTAGCTGTTGTTTCAAATGCTTCAAGACGAATGGTGCGCCCAATACGTCAACGCATTGAGAGGCGAAGAGTGGCTGATGCCGGTACTGTATCTTTGCCTCGTCTCGAGCTACAAGTTGTGCCTCTGGGTATTGTGCCTCGGCGTGATCAAAATGGGGAGAGATTCCGTTATGGAGGGACCTAGAATACACACCGATAAACATAGTATGGTTGAAGACGATTTCTTTCCTTCTTTTTTTTTGGTTTTTTCCTCATTGCACATGTTTTTCTTTTTGATGGATTCATTGTCATGATGGAGTTTTGGTTTCTTTTTTTTTCGTTTTTTTTTTTTTTTTTTTTTGTTTTTTCTTTTTTTATTTTTCTTTCAAGAAAAGTAAAGAAAAAATAAAGCATATGCGCCGTGTGTGTCACGCCAAGATCGGGACACAGGGCTCTCGATGCATCTCGGGTGTGGCTCCCGTTCTTTATTTCCCACCGGTCGCTGCTGTAAAGATCAGTAAGGAAGAACAGGTGAAAAGAAATACTGGTATCGCAATTGAGATGATTAAACGTTATAAAGGTGAAAAACCCCCTCAGTACACCCGAAAAAGCACAGCTACAATAGAGCAAGTTGAGAAGGAGATTGATGCGTTGCTTGGTGGGGCTGAAAAACTGCGAAAAAACACAACTGATGATCAACCAATGGATAAACTTACTCTTATGGAACGTTGTCTTCGTCATGCGCTTTGGTCATATCATAAAGAGGAGGGCAAGTATGACTTTGATCAAATAGCTAAATGGGTTGTTTATACCCCTGATGATGAGGCCAAATTGGCTCAGTTAAAGCGTGAAGTGGAGGCAAAGAAAAAACTTGCTGCTTTCCGAAAGCGCCGTGAAGAGCAAGGCCTTCCAAATGCCCCGGTCCCAAAGGTGAACTGGGGTCAGGAATACGCTTCCGTTATCGACCGCGAATTGGTTGCTGCGAAGCGCATTCGTTATGACACGCTTGCGTCCAATACTACGGAGCGTGATGAGGCACAGATTGAGGCCGTCCTTCAACAGTACAAAAAGCCTGCGCAGGACAAACGATTGGATGATTTGGTGGAGCTTCTTGAACGCTTTAAGCCTGTTTTGGCTCGAGAAGCAATTATGCAGCGTTTGACCATCAAGCATCTTGAGGGTCAGTTGGGTGTGTGGCGTTACATGGATTGGTGTCCGGAGGTGCGTGATCGAGCAGAGTTGGAGGTGGACATCACGGGTTGGCAGTGGTGGTCTCCCCTGGAAGAGCGCCGTCTTTTGCCAGTACGGCTGCGTTCAGTAAACGAAGTACGTGATATTATGGCTAAGACACAGGCAAAGAAATTATCTGAAAGTGCTGAAAAGAATCCGCGGGCCTCACAATCCAGTGGGGGTGACAACGCTCGTGATCGACTACTGAAGGAGGTCCTTGCTTTACAGGCTCGCATCAACCAGCGTGAAGAGGTTGACGCTTCCAAGAGCGACCATAAAAAGAAAGCACATCACTAGGATGGAGTGATTATATTATTTAGTGGAGATACATCAGTAGGGATCACGTACATCGCAACTTGTTAGGAAGGAAAGAGTAGGGAATTGAGAATAAGAAAGTACATATGAATATGAATATGTTTATTTTTATTTTT